CCTCCCTAATCATGAGTGGACCTGGGTGAATGCAACGAAAAAATACTTCGTGCTGCAAAAAGCGGAAGTCGGTTTTTTTTCCTAATGGCCAACACCAAAGTGCCATTTGCCGAGTAGACTACATACTTCCACATCTACGTTCTGCATGTTCAAAAAAAATGAAAAAAAGAGAGGCAGCGGACTCAAAGAAAACGGAACTAACTCGATCTGTTGATGTGCTCGAAACAGAAGTTTCATCGAAAAGCAAAAGGTGGCTGCTCTATGCTATGGAAAATCAGCAAATTCTGTGTTAGCGATTGTGTTAATATGACTAAATCACTGTATTTGTAAGCAATTATCACCATTACGCATGGGCAAAACGGAGTGCATTGCCCGTCCTTGCAGTCACACCCAGCACCGTCCTCTGGATACTGTAGACGAAGCGCGACACCAGTTGCCTTAGCTTCGCGGTAGTTAGAAATTGACATTGCACATCTGGTTAAATACTAAAACGATAACTTTGAGGAACATGAATGCGGGAAGTTCAGAGAAATTAATCAGGAAAATGGCCAACCTTAACATCGATGGTAGCACGTTCATCACCCGTCCAGTTTTCGAAGTAAATCGGTGCGATCCCGAGGCCTTCCAGTTCGTCATTGATTGCTTGTTCGGTCATGCGAAGGTGTACTCGGTGCCAGCTCTGAATGGACACGTTATGTAGGATTTTTATTATGCTTCCAATTGACAAAAGAAAGTGTCCCGACGTGAGAGATTGTGGCTAAACTGTTGAATGTTCAGAATGAAGTGAAAATGAAGCAAATAGCGACACCAAGTGAAAACACCGACCAACCACTTACGGTATAATCATGACGTCTATGGAAATTAGGGAAAGCTTGTGCAAACCCTTCTGGATCCCTCTGTTGCATGCGAGCAGCCATCTGCGATATCAAACGCTCTCTCGTATCGGCTGCTGCCAACTGAAAATGAGAATATTAGCATAAAAGTTAAAAAGGAAGTCCAACGAACCTTATTTTTGTTACCAGAACAAACCTTTTTGTCACCATCATCAAAACAATCCGGGGCTAAGCTCCAACAATCATTCCATGGCCAGTCTTTCCATATAACCACATATTCTTTTTCCTTAGATCCATCAGGCTAGAACAAAAGACCTTTATCCCACAGAGAAAAGTTGCATGAGCTTGAAAAATTACAATGAACTTACGTATTTGACCATATTTGGGCGTAATATAACAGCAACTTCCCATGACCTTTCGCTGGGGTCCACTTGTCCTTTCTGATCGCTTTCTACAAAAAGAAAGCAAGATGAATCATAATTAACCAACGGTGAAAATTCACTTCTGGGGGGGGGGGGCACTCCATTTTTTCTCCAATACTCAAGGAATGAGAGCGCTCACGACACGTAATCGACTCATTTAAAGTAGACTTCTGATAAGTATCGGTGTAATGTGGAAGAAACCCTGAGATGATTTCACATTTTCGCCTACTTCCAAGGAAACGGTCCTGGACCAGGAGAAGGACACCTCCTGCCTAGGGCTAAGGGTGCAGGAGCTCCAGGGTGGATCACCTGTGCAGAAAAGTGGATGGGATGTGGGCAGGTAGTGTGGAATGTAGGACATCCACCGGTCCTTATCAAAAGTACGCTCGAAATGAGTCGTTTACTTATTATCTTATCCGTAGTAATGATAACCCAAAGGAGGGGCACTGCGGGTAAAATAGCAATGAGTGTCCCCCCTCCGAATTGGATTTTCACCTAACCAACTAATTACAAGTCTCTGTCATGCATTTGCACGGGACGTCGGGGCCTACGTCTAAAGTTGAAAATACTTCCGTAAAATATTGAACGAAGGAAAGAAAATGGACAAAATGAGAGAAAAATGAAATAAACTGCTTTCCTATATCTTCATGTTTTCTAAACATAATGGGAGATTAGACCTTATTGTGTAGAAGAGTTTCTAAGAATAGCATTCCA